ATTGCTGCGTCATGCTGCGCCATACATTATTAAGTAGTTTTTAGTTAATAACTCGTGCATGAAGTTAATAATTATTACTGTATTATTAATTATTAATAATGCGGGAGGTCCCATCACTAATCATACGTACATAATTTGTCCACGTTCATTAGCGTAATAATTCCGCATATGAAATTTATCTGTATCACCTTACAAGGCTTATCGTTATGCATAACGATAACTAATTTGTGATATGGGGCACAAGTAGAAATTGCCATTTTTCATTTTTAGACCGGCTAAAATTAGTACCTAACCAAAGTCAGTCAATTAACTCATGCCAAATATCGATATAAATATTTTTAATGTACTCATCCATCACATTGACCCAATATATTTACTTCAGTAGTTAGCAGTAATAACATACATAATCGTGATTTGTGTATATTTCAGGATTTGGCTCGAAAATTTTAGCTATTCCACGCATTGCAAATGTATTCTCTCCGAAGCATGTTAAATGTTGTAATGAAATTGTCATTTTTTAAAAAATGATCACGGGTGTGGTATCCGGCCGTAAGTGCTATTTCTTCCAAAATAATAATCTTAGAAAAATTTGAGTCGATACTGTATCACATTATCACGCGAATGACATATAAAAATTTTTTGTATATTATAACTTAATTACAACGAAATTTACATCGAGATTATTTCGACTAAAATATAGTTATGTCGGGTATTGTTATGACAGAACAATGATATTATTACTGTATTCAATCACATGTATGATCAAAAAATGCATGCGTGACCTGTTGTACGACAATCTGATTGTTTGTATAAACTATAAAAAGAGTGAATGTACGACTATTTTTTACTAAAAAAAATTTTTTTCTCTGAACTTGCATTTCTTGTACAACTATTTTTATTCAAAGAACACAAAAAAATATATCGATATAACCATGTCCGAAAATATTAACCTTCCGTCAGTCGAGGATGTTCAGGAATGGAAGAAAGCTGGCGTTATTAAATTTTTACAAGAAAATAAAGACAAGTTGGACCTTGATGACGACGATATCGAAATTATCAAAAAAAATAAAGTCACCGGTCAAACTTCCTTCTGTTATCTAAAGATGAGCTTCTTGCTCATCCATACAATTTACCTGCTGGCCCTGCAACAACGATCGTTGAATTAGTCAAAAAAATCAAGGGCGAAGTAGTACCACGACTGCATTCGAATATGCGTAGCATAGAGTCTTTGACTCATATTCCAAACCTATACTGCTTTCTCCGCAATAATTTCATTAACTTGTGCCTCATACTATGTCCATGCCATAGTCGAAGTACCATCTATGTTGAAACAAGAAGTACTAGAATTGAAGAAAGAATTGGAGTTTTTGCGAGGTCGACAAAAAGGTATATTATATTTTATAGGGAGTTGAGTTATTATGTAATTCAGTTCTAATCTTTTGTTGTAATTTTTCACAGTATTTTCAATCAAGGCATCGTATGCGAAAAAGAGCAAGAAATTTAGCTGGACTATTGACTTTTCCAACTTGTCACTAAAAGAACTAAAGACATATATTCACTACCAATTATCTTTTCCAGAAGACGTTGATCCGGGAGATTTAATTCTTTGTGGCAGTAATGATAATGCCAAAAATAATGAGGAGCAAAGCCTAAATGACAAATCATATGAACAATATCTCAAATCCTGTATTGCAACGAACTCTCTAAGTCTTAAAATCAACGTTTATACTGTACAGAAACCATATTCGGAATGGACTTTCAATGCTGTTAACGATATATTCGAACTGCCAACTCATTACACGGATATTCCTAAATTCACCTGCGGTACCGATAAACTTGAAGATGAAAAGTCCCAAAAGTTGTTGTTGCATCTTATCGAAGATCTAAAGATCCGTCGATCAACAATCCATGGTGTTTCAGAAGCGTATAATAGCAAATTTGTGCTACCATTTCTTGCGATGGCTAGTTCCGTGTGTGGTGCGAAGGTTAAAATATATCCAGAAGAATATATCCAAGGAAAATATGGTCGTGGACCAGTAGATTTTTGTATGATATTGGAAAAAATAATCATTAGTGTTTTAGAGGTAAAAAGAGATGATTTTATACAAGGTACAGCACAAATAATCGTACAGCTTCATTCATCGCTTGAAGTAAGTAAAAATATGAATTTAATTACATTAATTTTATTCAAGCCTAACTCTGTTATTCCATAGAACTCTCGAAAGAGAAGACATGAGGATGATGATTTTGTTATTGATAAAGCGTATGGAATAGTTACTGCAGTAAATTATGGTATTTTTTCGAGTGTTCTATAAATGGAGATAAACCAGAATATAGAATCCATTCAAAAGAAGGGACTTCGATTAATTGGGGTAGCAATTTTGAGGAAGGGGTTACCGAGGTCTTAGGACAGATTGTTTGGCTATTTAAAGATACAGAAAAATTAATAGAATCAGCAAAACAAAAGAAGGTTAAATTAGTAAAATAATGTACAGTAATGAGTTTCATTTTGATGAGTCTATTTTCTGATATAATATATATAATATACCTTGTTAAATAACAGACTGTTACGTCAAACCTTGGCATTTCGATTGGCATTTTGATTTCGATTTTCATACCAATCATTGTGGTATTAATATGTCGACAACATGTGGTTCATGTCACTTATATTTAGATCATTCCGAAATTTTTACCTGATTTTAACCACATTGCTTAATTATTATTGGTTAAAAATTCATATCACGAAAAAAAACTATATTTAGTCCGAAATCTGAGAAACCATTTAACTTTAACCTTTAATATTTATAAAATAACAAATAATCGAAAAAAACAAACCGTAAATCTGAAAGAGAAGCATCGAATTTTTTCTTTTTATGGTTTATAATTTTAATATTACAAAGGCAGGATGTTATTTAAAGTTGTCTAAAAATTTTTTGATGACTATAGGTGACATGGATCAATATTT